AGCTCGTAGGCTTAATTAGCTGTACGTGGGGCAGGTTTACGCATGTTCCCGCCTGAACGAAGAATAATGAGCCAAATAAATCATAAATCGCAAAGAAGTGACATCACAAGCCCTTTGGGATGAAGAGTGTTCGATTTTCTGTCTGGTACACGTGTCTTGAGTGGCCTTTTCATAGGCTTGGAAAACCATAAAAACCAGGAACGGGGTATGAAACAGACAGGGTCTGTTACTTGTAGTGACGCCGTGTACGAGAGTCCGCAAGATCGTATGACCCGTAGATATAAACGTGGTTTAGCTGGTTCTAATTGTAATTCTCATTCAGGTTTCGCTCCCCAAACCCAGCAATAAGCCACTCCGTCATTTTCCATCTCAAAATAAAAGCCAACCCTAAAAGTGGAAATTGGGGGAGGGAGGAGGGGGCAGTGTAGTCCCGTGGTCAACAAACGACAAGTGGCGCAACTATCCCAACAGGCGTCTGTGGAGTAATAATGAGTTGCTATTTGCCGTTGCAAGAAGAAGACATCTTTTCGATTCTTGCATGGAAAAAGTAATTTTATTGTGAATATCCGTCTGTCTGCTGAGAGTCAGCTCAGGTAGATACCTATGGGTGGGGTCGAAGTAGTCTGTCTCCCACATGACCTAAATTATGTCGATTAGGTCGAAGAACTTGTGATCAGTTAATCACAACGACCCCCTGCTGGACCTGGCAGAGAATAAACCTGGTTCATTTTCAGAATGATTTATTTAACTTATTTAGAAATGTGTGTGTATGTGTGTGTGTGTGTGTGTGTGTGTGTGTGTGTGTGTGTGTGTGTGTGTGTGTGTGTATGTGTGTGTGTGTGTGTGTGTGTGTGTGTTGGAAGAAGGGGGGTGCTGTAATGGATGTCCGTGTTTGGAGTTATAGGTCGTTTAGAAGAGGGAAGTGGTTACAATGAAGACAGAAAGTAGGAAGAAGACCTAGGTGATACACCTAGTTGTAAAAGTCAGACGTGTGTATTTGAAAGTAAATGATACATGACATTTTACGAGAAAGAGTCTGCAAAACCTTCTGGTGTGCAGGGGGTCTATTTAATAACCCTGTGTACTAAATTGGGGACTTAAATTGTGAGTCTGGAACCGTATTCACGCACTGCAAAGACACGCGTCCTTAATATTTTCTCTTGGGTTTCTATTGTCGTTGATGTTATTGTTGTTGTTCTTGCTGTTGTTGTTTTTTTAAGACTTCATTTGGGAAGGAAAAGAAAAAAAAAACGCCTCCTTCAAATCCATCGGTTCTAAACAAAAACTAAAAGGTGTAACCAATATTCTAGATGACTGGAAATTAACTCCCAAGTCGACATAATCAAGATCATACAGACGAGGAAAGATTTTGTTTTTTAGTCGGTGTCTAAGTACTGAAAAGGTTGCTTTTACTGTATGCTTCCCGAGAAGTTGATAATGCCTGCTGGGAAAATAGTTATAGATTGTAAAGTGCACAGTGCTGAGAGGGGATATATATATATGCGCTCTACAAATTATGCTATTCATCATTTATTCTTATTATGAAAGGCATTCCTCTCGTGAAAATTAAACTTTTTTTTTTTAGAGGAGTAGGTGTATTGAGGGAAGAATATCTTTTAGAGCTAGAGTAAAGTCGGGTGTCGCGTCCACAGCATTTTCCATTTCATTTCACATTTTACTTTCGTTTTTTACACTCTGGAAGTCGCCATTTTCTGGTAATTAAAAATTTGTCTTCTTCATTAGCGAGTTACACTAATGGAGACGCTTATTTGCTAGTCGGTTGCTTGGCAACTAATGAACTCCAAGCGCCCTTACTTGCTTTCATTACCCTTTACAAAGGTTCTAAAATATAATTGTGTCCATTGTGCCCTTCAACAATGGAAATTTGACCCACGAGGGGGATGGACGCGCTCACCATACCAAGTTTTAGTATGGTCTGGTCATGCATCCATGGGTGGTGGCACTCACCGACCGAGTAGATTCAATATGGTGAATGCGTGCACGTACTATAAAAATGAATAAATGTCATTCACTCAGCCACCTGTAGACATCTATTAGTATTACCAATCAAATGTTGTTTTTTTTGGTTGTTTTTTTAAATCCCATCATCATTATATTTAGAGATCTGGACTTAGATCGTCAACATTTTTTTTTTTTGTAACAGTAAAAAAAAAAAAAAAAGTCTTTCATGTGTAGATGGCCCTTAGTGGCAATGAATAGTATATATAATGCATGAGACGCTAAGGAAAAAAAAGAAGCTGATAAAGAGGAAGTGCTTCAGGTGAAAGAGAAAAAGAAGGAAAGAGAAGAGATGAAGAAGAAGAAGGCAGAAGAGAAGGTGAGAAAAAAAGAAGAATCACGAGGAGGCTGAAAATAAGAAAAGAAAGCGGGAAGAAGCTGCTCTGAAAAAGCTGTTGAAACGTAGAAGAAAAGAGTGAATATAGAAAATGACAGTGAAAGTAGTAGAGATGAAGATATTCTGATATATGATGAGAGTGAG